AAAACCTGATGTAAACACTGTTTAATAATTTGTTTTTTAAGTGCAAGTAAGGTATATGGTATCAAAGGAGCCAGAGGCAAACTGGTGATGGGGAGAGTGGGGGGGGGGGGGAGGGGGTAGATCTGTACTGAGAAAGGAAAACAGGTAATTAAATACAGGAATAAGCTCCCCAATCCCTTCCTCCTGTTCTTAAAACTTTTAAGTTAGCCTAGAATCCCTAAACAGTTGAAGGTTTGATAACTAAAATAATCACATATGTAAAAAAAAAAAAAGAAAAAAAAAAAGAAAAAAAAAAACTAAGTTCTGTCGGAGATATTTTTTCTATGTGTCTGCTTGGGGAGATTAAATATTTTATCATTGATAGCGGCTGTCTATTCTTTATTACAAATGATTGAATCTTTCAATATTTTTTAACCATGGGTATTTTCCAATTGATTTACATGATAGATGTTGCGGCAAATTTTAGGCCTATATTGTTGACGAACGGAGGAAATGCGGTAGGTGTCAAATACGTCTTGTGTAGAGTATAAAAGAACGAAGATATACAAAATAAAGTAAAGTCAAGGATTTTTTATGCATACCGATTTGATTTAATAAAATAAAGCCCAGCACAGTCCGTAAGTATTATTTGTTCAAAATTTGCGAGGTACACACACTCTATTAAGTACCACAGAGTTATCTCCCATGCTGGGTCAATGATGCGTTTGAAAACTATATTTAGAATGAATGTGTTAAGATTTCAATTTTTAATCAAAAAGTGCAAGGGCAAGGCGACAATCCAAGAGGTAGGTTTTTATTTTAAATTCTTTACTTTACTGTATAGTTTTTAAAAGGTGATGCTCATTTCTTTGTAATTCATTTGGCAATTTAAAATTTCCGATTAAATGATGAAAAATACCCTATTTTTGAATACTGGTGTCTGTTTTCAATGAATAGCTTAAATATCTCAGAAATCTGACTGAATGAGCATCAGTTTTACGATAGAATAGATACTAAGGGACACAATGAAACATTGTGCAGTTCAAATATTGTTTGCCTTGCCCTTGCACTTTTTGGTTAAATTTGACATTTCATATTTTGACCTAAAATCGGAGCTCACGTGACTGTAGAGGGTCACATGATGACAAAAAATACCGATGTTAAAAGCGATGGACAAACTCTTCATAAAGCCATTAAGATATTTCAGATAGAGTTTCATGCTAAAAAATAAGACGGTTGAACTTTAAGTGTCTCGTTTTTGGTGCCTTTTTATAGAAAATGTTGCCTTAACTGTACTGCGTGATTCTTCAAGAATGCTAAGACTGTGTTCTCATCCAAATGTAAATCCAACACTATTAAATCCTGAATTGAATCTGTTCAAATATATATGACACGTTTTGTAAATAGCAACGCAGCAATAAACAAAAACGGAGGACTGACGAAATAAAACTTGAAAGTTAAATATTTAGGAAAATGGTTTACAAAATATCTTTTTTTCAGAAGGTATCAATGTTTTCTAATTTTAGCCTCGATTTTATTCTCCTGTATTGTCAAAATGGGAAATTTTCTATATCAGTTTTTTCCCAAATCAAAGAAGCTATACTCAAGAAATCGAGTATAAAATAGAGGAAAATGTGTGTAAGTGTGTGTGAATGTTTGTGTGTATGTGTGTGTGTTGGGGGGGGGGGGGGTGTTGAGATATGTCACAAATTGATTCTATTTGGGGATATTGATATACATATACTATAAGCGAGTTCCAATTGCTTGATTTAAGATAAAAGGATACATGTAGAGAAAAAACTTCGAGACTCATTTTTTAGGAGAAATAAATTGAAAAGTAAAAAGAAAATAAGCAAGAGGTTCAATACCCTGCTCGGTCACCTGACTATAGTGCAACAGTGTAAAGAATTCATAAAAGTATAAAACAAAATTAACTGATAGATGAAGCTATGTAACTTGGGCACTTTTAGTAAACCCATCCAAATCCTATCACATTTTTTTTTTCCCAGCACCAGAAAACTTGACCAAGTGGTTGAAAATCTCTGTAATCTTGTAAAACACCCTTGTTTATTACAATTTTGTTTTACGTTTTCCTCCAAAATGCCTTTGAGTGGAGAAGATTTTCAAAAGAAAAAAATGAATTTTTACTATAATTTAAAAACAGCCCTTCCCTAATTACTGAGTCATTGACCCAGCGTTTTTAAAATTCATAATTTTGAAAGAAATACAATTGATTATATTAACAATACACTTAATTTAAAACTTTCAAAGAATGCTTACATCTTCATTACACATGTATTATCAATATGGTCCTGCCCTAAAACAAGGGCCCCTGATCCAGAGGCTGTGAAATTCACAATTTTGGAAGGATCACCCTTTGCTTTGTATATTTAAATGACCTGTAATTAACTAAGATGCGACTTTACTCAGCATACAAAGTAACCATGCACTTAGTTGATCTGCATAATACTTATTATAAGAGAAAAGATATTTAAAGAATTAATATATTTTAACTTATTAATCAATAAAACGTTGCCCTATTACTCCCTGACCCAGGGGCCATTAAATTCTGAGAGAAGTACCCTTTCTCACCATAGCTATACACTTTGCTTGTTCATTTTATACCCAGGAGCAGAGCAGAAAATTTTCAAAGAAATAGCACATTTTCTCATTATAATCAGTACAGCCCCCATAACTTCTGACCATTGGGTCACAAATTTAACAATATCGAAAGAAGCATTTCTGCTCATCATAATCAATCACGTGGATTATCAGCATAATACCTTAGAACAGAAAGACTTTAAAATAATTAATGCATCTTCCATGATAAAGTCATAGACCTCACCTTTGCACCAGAGCCTCTGACTCAGGAGCAAAGACATTTAGAATTTTGAAAGAGACAAACCTGCCCATTATAACTTTGCATTTGATTTATTTGCTTAATAACTGAAAAAGATTTTCAAAGAATTGATGCACTTTTCACACTATAATAAATAGAGCCCTGCCCTAACACAGGAGCTGCTGATCCTGAACCGTGAATTTCACATTTTATTAGAGGACACAATGATTATCAATACAAACATGCCAACAGTTTGACTGCTTGATGTCCAAGAGTAAGTTTTGAAAATTGCATGAATTTCGGGTTTTAGCCCCGCCCTCCTCCCCCCCCCCCCCCCAGAAGGGCATGGACCATTTTTTTTTTTTTTTTTTTATACAATTTATGTTCCCCTTTATGCATGGATGCTTTATGCCACAATTGCCTGAAATTGGTTCAGAAGTTCCAAAAATAACCTGAAAGTTTGAACTCTCGACGCACGTCGCAGAAGACGGATGAAATCAGATAGAACAATACAATTCTCCCTCTGAGTAGCTCAGGTGACCTTTAAAAATGTATCAAGATAAAACGTACGTCTTCATAATTTATAAAGTGTGATACTTACATGTAGTTCATTATTGTTTCCAGAAAAAAAAAATCTAACTTGAACATCAAAGCAGTTCTATAAATAAATGCACACAACCTGTTAAAATTAATATCGAGTGTGTTTACTCAGGCATTCTTTTTTTTTTAATGAATAGTGTTACCTTTAAGCACACACATATACATGCAAAATTGTACGAGATCCCAGAGGGCTCATTCGAGATTCGAGTTTCGAAATACGAGATTCGAATTTCGAAATTCACGATTTAAAATAACCAATCAAAAGGCGGTTTAAGATTCAATTACTGTTCGTGTACGTAAATTAACATATTCAAAATTTAGCGGATTCATTGGGTATGGAGTTGTTGGCGAAATCATGAATTAGCGCTACACATGTCCAGCCCGTGTATTCGATTTATGCAATAATTCTTTGCGGTATTCACGAATTAGCGCATCGTTGTCTGCGCAAATGCCGCTAAAATATGAAGCCCGATTTTTTTTATGTAGACATTGGTACTTCCTTTTGCTAAGATTTGACCACCAAGAAATCGTCAAACTTCGCTATCTAAAACACTGATATCTCGAATACCATAACAATTTATTCGGAGGTCCCAACAACTTATTTTTATTTTGTTATCTTCAGAAATTAAACAATCCAAATTTAATAAATGACTATTATCATGACAAAAAGCGTAGCTCTCATTTTGCCATTTATTTATTTAACGATTGGCAGAGAAGAAAAAGATAATGAAAAGAATATGAGCATATTTATATTTGCATGTCTAATCAAACTTTTGTTGAAAGATTTATGTCCGATACTTAAAAAAGTATATTTTTAAAAATTTGGAAATAACAAATTTATTAATAGACTTTATCTCTTGATCTATTAATACACACTGAATCACCCCGGGCATTTAAAAACAAAATAGTTATCAGCAAGATTGTTGCAATGAAAGTAACCTACACAATGAATAAGTTACAAGTAAATCGAACTCGTAGGTGTGGGTACGAGGTTTGAACTTCATTTTATTTTTTATTTTGAAAAAAAAAGTGTCATACATATGAATTTAAATCAAAAAATTGTTAATTTGATCTCATTTTTCTCCGTTCATTACGATTTCATTACAAATAAATACAATATTTTATTTCTATTAATATGGATTTTTAAGGATGTAAAGGGTTCATAAAAATATCATCAGTTCGTAATGTAGTTTTTATGTTACAATTTGCCCTTTTGATTTTATGGACTTACTTTAACTTATGAAAAAAGATATACTTTTTTAACTTAAAGGAGCTACATCAATAAGATTCTTAGATATTCTCTCTCCCTCTCTCTCTCTCCCTCTCTCTCTCCGTCATATTGTCTTTTAAGAGTAACTTTAACTTGATAAGGTAACATTTTTTCTTAAATATATTAAGAAAATCAATACGATTCATTTTTTTTTATTGTTTATGTTAATATAAATTGAAAATCGGAACAAAACATTATGCTAAAAAAATATCGCAGTTGTATAATGAAGTAAGCTATATTTATTATGTTTTTTTTTCATAAAAAACTTATCGAGATGTCAGATCTATTTATGTTTGTAACAATCGTTTCCTTTTACATTCTCTTAAAACAAAACACAGAGCAATACATATAATCTGAAAAACAATGGCTGAGTATAAACTAATTGAAAAATTATCCACGACACCAGAAATCACATTGGATGATACTGTAAGAGAAATAGAAGTGGCGTAAAACAAATCAAAGTAAACTATATAAACCACTTTTCTAGACACAATATGGCAAAATGCCCAAGAATGACAAAAAAATATATTTGCAACAACACCAACTAACAGACTCGATACAAAACTAGGTTTCTTTGTACAGTTTACATAGAAAATGTGCTTCTGTTTCAGTTTTCGAAAACAAAGTCCAGTTAGGATTATTAAAATGACAAAATGACCTATAAAAACATATAAAGCAGGCTTCCATCCCACAACAGATGAAAATGTGCCAAACATAACAATTCGAATAAAAATTTCGATACCTCTTTCAGAAAATAAAGCTAGTAAATAGGCAGTTTTACTTAAAAATGATACGCATTTATTTTTGTAAGACTTTCCAATAGTTCTTTGTGAATGCTCAAGTCTTCGGTCTTCATCTTTATTTAGGTATTTCGTGGCAAAAAACACACTTAGCAAGGAAGAGACGAAATTAGTGACTAAAGAAATATCCTGTGTGTTGTAAAAATCTGCAAAAATAAAACCATATACAATTAAATCTGTTTTTGATATTCCAGAGGATCAGTTTGAAAAGTAATAGAGAATGATGCATTTAGTTTTGATTTGAAATTGATTTTTGTCATTTAATCTCGCAAACTTGGTGGAAAAAACCTTTACCCGACTGTAGAGAAATAGTTTCTTAATCTAATCTTATGTTTATATTGGATTTTTGCCAGCTTTTACAATATTAATCTTAAGGGACAACTTATCAATGTTATCAACTTGCACTTACCGATGTTTAGATCTTTATTTTCATACTTAATAAACCACAATAAAATCGTCTGAGGAATTCCCTCGAGAGAAGCTTCAATCAGCCAAAGAAACGTCAAAGCTTGTAAATACCATCTCGCTCTCCAGCGTTTCCAACCAATTAGAATAGTCCAAAATAAACTGGAAGCAATAGTTCAAATTATCTTACAACAAAATATGTGTTTAAGGAGAAAAAATAAAGCATTGTACCTCAATTTTAAAACGAACATTAGTAGAAGGAAACTAAAGAGTAAATACAAGTAAATACATCTTGCTTGAAATAGAAAAAAAAACCCATTCACTATTCTCTTAAATAACTGAAATCGTTAAACTGAGGACCAAATTTTTCTATAATGCTTTGCTAAATGTATTCAAGACTTTCTTTCCTCAATATCGAATGAAGAAAGGTCCAATTACAAATTATGATCCCTTCATCTTTCTACATGCTCAATATATACAAAAAAATGCTTATGGGGGGTGGGGGGGGGGGAACCTTAATGATAACAATTTAAAATTAGTTAAATGTTAAATACTCACATGCAGCTTTTCAGAAATGGAAAACATGCAAGCAATACGAGCACTAATCGTCGGCGTTTATTTGATGAATCAACGTGGTACAAAAGAGGATAAAGCACCAAGAAATATGACAGAATTGTCGGAATAATAGTTAAGGCTAAATATATGAGAGCGGCTATCTTCTCCTTACGCCCCACCCAATAGTAAATCATGTACAAATCTTGGAAGAAATCAAACATATATATCAAGATTAAAATAGTCGTTGCAATCACTACAGTACATTTCCAAATGCAATTGCTTGTTGATTTACATTCAGGTGCTTCCAATTTTTCGTTTCCAAATGTGATTGCATTCGGTTCAGTAGATATTTTTACGGCATGCAAGTTGCTATCTGGTTTAGCTTGTAATCTGTTAATGTCGAATTCAAGAAGAGACTTCAGCTTTTCCTTGAGGGCAACACAAAGAAGAAGAAAAAGGCTTAGGAGGATGGTAAATGATACAAGAGAAACCACGAAACATGTGATCTGTTCCTGTGAAAAATCGTCGCTTTCTGGGAAGACTGAAAGAAATGTGAAATAGATAATCTTAAAGATTGAATTTTTTCCCTCCGCAATGTTAAGTTTAACTAAGAAATAAATTTCAAAACTATGTATGGTAAAACATCTCTTCAGGGCTCTACTCACCTGAGGTGTTCATATCAACCATTTTTTTTTAAAGATTATGAAGCTGAGGAACTGGGAAACAATCTCTAAATTTACACACCGTTTAATTGTAGATTATAACCGTAAAGTCGAAGGGAGGTTGGTAGTCTTCGCTTAGATATATAAATCGTCCAAATGATTTGAAAATATTTTTTCAATTATTTTTCGATGTAATAAACTCCTGAATGAACGTAAGTACACAAGAAAACACTAACACATACACTGAAGCTCAATCTTCAATCTTAATCACTATATACTGGTAATACGGAAATCCCAAACGTAGTAATAACGTTTTATCTCGTTCTATTTATATTTTCTGAAATCCCTGCATATTTACAGAAAACTATATATGTATTTATTAACCAGTTGATTACGATGAAAATAAATCGATTTATAGAAAGTTACCTATTTCAACACTTAAAGTGCGGTTGCAATAAGAAAGCACTATATTTAATGTCAAAATAGGGAAATGATGGTACAATTTTAAATTTCTATCCTGTTGGTAGAAACCTATGATACATGTACATTAACAATACGTGTTTTTCTTTTAAATCTTAAAATCAAAAGCAAATCAGGAAACTGGCTACCTGATCTATAAATAGATCAGATATATCTATAAATAAAAAGTTTTAAAAATAAAACTGATATAGGTTGTAAATCAATTTAGATGAATCAAGCGCAGATTAAGTGTCATGTGTGCATGTATGAAATGATATATTAAATTTAGAAAATATCATAATATATATTTGTTTTTAATTTTCAGAAAATTTAATATTGCTTCTTTCCTTATGAGCAGCTATAATTACACTTTATTTTTGATATTGCATCAACTAAATCGCATCCAATGTTTTCTTTTATTACTTAACTCGGAAAGCTATTTTAAGCTATTTCAAGGGACATAATCCTCACATAACAAATAACCATGCAAGGATTTTCAAAGATATTTTGTAGATGTAACTTTTCATATAGAGCATTTTTTTTATTAAAATAAAACTTGAAATTGAAAAAAAAAAATACATTGTGCACGATACAACTTTAGTTTCAGGCAATATACATGTATAGGCTACGGCTGCATTTTATAATGAGGGAGCTAGACAACACTAATTTCCTTGTTTGACATCCCAAAAAAATCGAACATATATGGTTGGCCCTGAGCACATATGCTCACCTGCTTTATCTATTCGTATAGAGAAAATGCTATTAGATAGGAGGTCAACTAGCAAAATAAATAAATAAATAAATAAATTAAATAAATCAATAAATAAAAAATAAGTTGAGCACTTCTAGTGAGCCAAATATCCTTCATACCCATATTTTTTTTTTCTGGTAAATTTTATCCTGTGCGATTGGGATTGTCTTGTTTCTAAGATGTTTTACAGCTTTCATGAAAAAAAAAAAAAGAAGAAAGAAAACCAAACGACAGCAGAAGATACAGTTAATGAAAGGAATTCATTTTTTTTAATGAATGTAATTGTAGGTTTTGATTGGGTAATATCCCGAAAAACACAAAGCATGGAAGAAATTTATACCAGGGCGGGGCCAATGTGTGACAAAATACCAATATATTAAAAATGAAAAAAAAATGGAAATCACATTGTCTATCATTCTTTATCAAATAAAATGCAGTATTCAATAAAAATGCACGCCTTCATTTTGGTTTACTGCAGAAATTCTTCAGTTACAAAAAACAAATATATATTTTGCATATAAACAGATAGATCCTTATGTAAGTATAGGAATATTAATATATTGAATAAGTTGAGTTATAATAAATAAAACTCATTGGAGACATTCAAATAATGCTAATCGACAAGGCTGAAAATCCCTATTCATTAATTAGAAATGTAGGGGGGAAAGAACTGAATAAATATACTTACAAGCATTTCATATATACTTATAACTACGTACATGTACATCAAAAAGGATTAACTCAGTCAAATAATTTTTGTTAATTAAGCTTTGTATAACGGTTCTTGGAACTTATGTTTTGGAATGCTAGTAAATGTTTTGCTTCTTTCTAACCATAGAATTTAAGAATAAAATAATTACAAAAGATTAAAGTATAGTTAACTATAAATTTTACAAGAAATGATCGATGTTTAATTAAATAGCGACGCTTACTCTATAGTTGTTCTTAAATCATAGATAACATCACTCGTACTTAGTCAAAATATAAAAATAAAGGTGTAAACCACATAAATTTATTTAACTTGAAAACTTGAAGCGGGAAAAATATTCAATTGCAAGCAGATCAAACACGGATTTCGAAAGACAGGATCAGGTGCTAGCAAGAATGAGCATCCAGTTCGTACATACATTGTCCCTACTTACAATTTACAAGCTCATTAGTTTGACAGAGGAACTCAGATATTCATATGGTAATCTCTCCTTCATGTCATTTTTCAAGTAGCTTAGAACAAGGAATGGATTCAACAACATTCTTTGTAAATAAGACTTTCCTCATTTCATTATAAACAAAGTATGGAAATAACGAACAGTATTCAATCTCAAGGTAAATGTAGCCAATAAGAATCGGGTGCAGAGCGAATACGGACCTCCAAAAACATCACATTTCGGAGCAGGTGCCATGGAGAAGTGAGCATTCCCTGCAAGCGGTCACACCCGACGTGAGCTCCCTATCATGATCGAGAAAGCGTAAAAATCCGTAGACAATTCAGTGTGTAAATAACGGCCTAACAATTAGAATGAAAAACGTCATTCAGCATTTAACTAAATGATACGTTGTATTTGCTGACAAGGTCATTGTATCAGCCATAAAACTTGCGAAATGATGACTTCAAAGGAGACTGACGATATCCTTGTTTCAACTTGTTTGTCAATAGCTTGCCTCGTTTTCGAAATCGTTCATACGTAGAGCATGCTCTTGCGTATCGAATCAACAATTTACATGTAAAATATATAAAGAAGTACAGCAATATTTACCTGCAGCGCTTTCCTAATGACAGTTTACACAATCATTAAATCAACCATAATTGACTTAATTGAGGTATGTTACAAAGTAGTTAATCTTTGAAATGAAGATGACGAATGTTGGAAGATTTATTATCACGTTAAAAAGAAGAAAGATTTGCATACAAAAAGAATGTCTATTTATTTACTAGACGGGAATATACTTGAAATAAAATGTAAACCATACCTGTGTTGAAAAAAAAACAAAAGTGGTACTCAATACATAATAATGAGTGGTATACAATTTTATTAAATTGATTTAAACGTCTCCTGACTCAAAGTCTATACTACAGAAAAAAGCAAGGGCAACCATTTAACAAATATATGCAACAACAACAGCATTGAAAAACAGCACATGCAATCAGTAGATATATCTGTGTTGCATGAGCATCAGCATTGATTAACATTGGTGTCAATCAGTCGGAAAAATATTGTTTTACTACCATTTGGTTAGAATTGTGACGGGGATCATTCCCGTCCTTGGGACTCTGGCAATGATCACGCACTTTATGTGTTTACAAGTTTATTTACATATTTACAACACTACATGTAATAACACGCCACAATACGTTACATCTGCATACATTAACATTCAAACTCACTCTCGTTCTTTCTCACGAGGCCTCCTCACTCATTTCCCCACACATGAAATTGTATCACACCAAAAGACATCAATTTATTAACTCTTTCTTTCATCACTGTGACTTTGTCCATTCAAAATAAACAGAAATCATTCATAACCCACAAACGTTAACGCTAGCTAACTCAAAGGACACCTATAGCACCAGCGCGGCGCACTTGCTACTTATCTACTCTCTCACTCTCAGACTCTCTCACTCTCGAACTTCTTATGGTTAACAAATTAAATATGTAAAATCGGGTTCAGACTTTATTCTGTTATTCTGTAATTCTATGAGAGATAATAAAATCACTGCTGAAAGATTTTGATCCCCTTCATAACAAGAGGCCCAAGGGCCTTAACGGTCACCTGAGTACAATACAACAATTTAAAGGATCTATAAACTGATAAATGAAGCTTTGTTGCCCAAAAGCAAGAAAAATAGTCTGATTAGCATCAACAAAATAATTGGTCTAGTATCTATCTGCCATGCAGACTATCAACAAAATGTCTATTATTTAACCCCATATTATTACTTCTCACAATGGCCTCTCTTGGCCTTTGAAGAACATTTAAAAAGATAAGTTATTTTTGTCTCAATTTTATTCATCTATTATTTCCAAGTCATTAAAACCATGAAAGTACATTTTTTTATTATACAATAAATTGTCTTGCATAATTCTCTTATTCTCTTAAGCTTTCAAATACATTATTTACATTGATTAATTATCAAAGGTGAATGGCAAAGGGGAATAACTTTGCTCAGCAGAATACAAGTTAATAGAGCCCTGGCCAGGACCAGAACACTTGACTAAATGGTCCAGGTGTTCAAATTTCTGGTAAAAATACCCTTGCATATTTAAAGTTTTACTCTGTTTGCCTTGAACATCCCCAGAAGCATAGAAGATTTTCAAAGAAATGCATTTTCACCATATTATTAAATAAATAAAGCCCCATCCTTACACCAGAACATCTGAACCATTGGCACGAACTCACAATTCTGGAAGAAGCACCCTTTCTCATCATAACTATACACTTGTTTCTTTACTTTTAAACCAGTAGTAGAAAAAAAATATTTGGAAAGAAATTATGCATTTTCACTATATAATCAATAGAGCTCCCCCCCCCATCCCTCACCAGAACCCCTGACCCAGGGGCCATGAATTTCAAAATTTTGGAAGAGGCATTCTTCCTTATCATAACCATGCACTTCCTTTGTTTGAAAAATACCCAGGAACAGAGAAGATGATTTTGAAAGAATTCATGCCTTTTCCCTATATAATAAATAGAGCCCCACCCTAACACCAGAACCCCTGACCCAGGGGCCATGAAATCCATAATTTCTGAGGAGGCAGTAATGCTCATCATAACTATGTACTTAGTTTATTTAATATCCAGGAGCAGAGAAGATTTTC